GACTCACAAATAATGTAGCAAAGGCCCACAATTTGCCAACCCCTGATGTATGCATTATTCTTATTATAATAAAATCCCAATATAATCTTTTAAATAGATCTTGCAAAATATTTATTTTAATCCAAGCTGGTGGTATTTATGTAAAACATAAATTATATGAAAAATATGATAGCCTTATAAAAAAAATGCATATGGGCAATTCCATGTAAAAACATTCAGGACATGCAACCCTAAGACTCAGACTTTGCTGATTTTTACACTCAAAAGATTTTAATAAGTTATGAACATTTCCAAAATTTTAGTATCCAATTCCAAAGGGCTCCAAAAATATGACTCTTCAAACTTTGCCTTGAACCAACAAAAATCCGCTTTTTTGAAAAATGGTTTTGGTCATTGTTTCTGTTCTGTGTGCGATGGAAAACTAAAAATATGTACACTTACATATTTTGAGGCAAGGAATACTATAAAACAACATAAAATATTTAATACTAAACATAACACCTGTAATTTTGACCATTATTACAATTTTACTGGGGCGAGTTTAATAACAAAAATGCCAATGTAGATCAATTTTTTATGTTGTTTTGAATAGTTTAGTTAAAGTTATTACAAAGAATTGGAGAGTGGTCTTTTCTTAAACAGAAAAAAAAACATGGTAAATTTACTTAAATTTATTACTTAAAAAAAAGGAACTATGAAAAATGAAAGAAAAAAAAAGGAACACTCTTAAGTGCATAATACACAGCAGTTAATGTTTAATACTTTTCAAAAAAACTTTCCGCCCACCCTGAGTTTATTAAGACCCCCTACCCTGTTTGTTAAATTTGTTTTTGTTACGAACAAAGAAACTGTATCCCAAATCTGAAAAAAAAAAATTTCAGTTATTATTTTTTAATTTTTGGGATCCATTTAGGTCTTTAAAATTAAAAAATATAAACGAAGAAATAAAAAGTTCCCACTCACCTGTTTGTTAAGACTACCTCATCTCCTTCTTTTCTTATCTCCCCCATTTATTACACTTGGATAAATATTCCTATCCATCCTTTTATTTTTATTCTACATTGTGTTAAGCAATTGAGAGTAACTTGACAGGTATGAAACTGAAAAAGCTTTAACAATATCAAATTGTTCCTTTTCTTGTTGCTGACTTGCTAAATTATTAAAGTTTTAATGTGGTTGAGTTGAATTAAAAAATGCAGATATATAGGCTCTTTTTTTTTAAGTTGTTTTAAATAATTTAGTTAGTTAGTAATTATAGGAATTAGGTTGTGATGTTTCCTAAAACAGAAGTAAAAACATTGTCAAATGTATATCATTAATAGATAATTTTAATGAGGAATCATAATCTGACTTTTTTTATTTAATGTTTCTGAGAATTTTATTAAATTTTTATTACTAAACTAATTAAGTTTTACTTACTAAATTAATAGTTATGAATAATAAATAGTTGCTTTTTTTATTGACCAGTGGCCAACATTTGGATGAGACAAAATTGGTTAAAAAAATATTTAATAAAGTTGTTACCATCAATTTCTGTATTTCATTATTTTATTACTTTCTAGATTATGTGCCACAAGTTGTTTTTTTTTTTTTTATGGAGCATTTATTAATTTATTTAATTTGGGATTTAATAGTTATAAAAATTGTCTAAAACCTAATTCATAGTCAGAATGTAATAATCATTAGAATATCATAACAGATATAAACAATCTATCTTTGTCTTTTTACCTAAAATTATTTTAAAGAAAAACGTTCTCACAGCTATAAGCAAGAGATTTCCAGTTAGGCAGTTACTGCAATAGTGGTAAATGTTATTGGTAATTCAGAAGGTGATGTTTCTAATTATGCACTATTTTTTTCAATTGTTTTTAGAGTTGTGGAGGAAGTTATAAATAAAGAAAGAAAAATGATTATAAAACATACTGTTCAAATAATCAAATAAAATTTAGCCTTATAAACTTGTTAAATTCTTCCAATCAATAGACAAATCAAGTTTTTGTTCCCATGAAATAAATGAGGCGATATAAGAAGGGGGATGGGAGAGGAATGGGGTATTAATAAACAGGAGAGTAGGAATTTATTTAATTCTATAAGTGAGTTTATATTTTCTAATTTTTTTGACCTGAATGGTCTCAGAAATTAGAAAATAATAAAAATTGTTTTTTGTTTTTAGTTTTGAGATACAGTTTTTTGTTCACAACAAGTAAAATCAGGGATGCGGATTCCCAAAAGGACTCCGGCTTTATATCTCTACTTTTTTCTGGTCTCTGGTGTCCAAAAGCTCTATTACAAAAGCTCCAAAAGCTCTAATACAAAATATGTTGGTTGACTTATAAAAGCTCTATTACAAAATATATTGGTTGACTTACAAAAGCTCTATTACAAAATATGTTGGTGATGATCTGCAAACAGAAAAAAAACACAAGATTTAATAGCTTGGAAGTTATTGTTTTTAAGCCTAAAGTCCTTGCTGGTATTGTACCTATAGACTGCTTGTTCAAAAACTTAAAGTTTTATCCATTAGTAGTCCATAAGCTTTTTTATATTTTTAGAGCTCCTGGATACTAAAAACTAGAAAAAATCTTTTTGCGACTTTTAAATCTGTCTTTTTTAGGACTCCGCATCCCTGAAAAAAATTTAATAAACAAGGGAAGAGGGTCTTAATAAGCTCAGGGTGGGTGAATAATTTTTTCGAAAAGTATTAAACATCAACTGCTGTGTATTATGCACTTAAGAATACCACCTTTTTTTTCCTTTCAATTTAATAAATTAAAAGGAAAAAACTTGACTTTTAAAGTAACAAATTTAAGTAAATTTGATCATGTTTTTTTTCTGTTTAAGAATAGACCACTCTCCAATTCTTTGTAATAACTTTAAATAAACTATTCAAAATGACATCTGAAAAAAATAAAAATCAAGCTACATCAGCAACTTGTGTCATGTGTATATGTGTAATGTATCCTAATCCAAAAAGGTTGTTATATTGGATAATAATGAAGTAAATTAGACATGGATCAGTAATCAAAATGAGAGTCTGATTACAGAAGGCAATAAAGATACAGATGATTTTGATATTGATAATGAAAATAACGATGACATGATTTTATCAAGATTGTTTTGAAAATAATTTTAATTATTCATAACTTTTTTTTTAAAAATGTTCAAATTATTTTTTCGGTTTTACGTGTTTTCAATTATAATCTAGTTACCTGCGTTAACAAAATGACAAAGTGGACAAATCATTTGTAAAACTATAATAACAGATAATTATATCAATTATATATAAAATCAATTATTAATAATAATAATAATAATAATAATAATAATAATAATAATAATAAGTGAAAGCCATAACAACTGAGAATCAGATGTAGAGTACAATAACATAAGATACTAAACTATAACAGCTTATTATATAAGTTTATGAAGACTTATTGTTTCTTTATAATATTTTACTCACAACAACACTATATTGTACAAAAAATGTTTTGAGGGTTTAAAGAGCCACTGCGCAAAAAGCAGTTGTATTTTTAAAGCTCATAAACTCGTATATAAGTTATTTTAATCAATGCTAAATTAATGTTAATCTAATATTGATTTTTGGTTTGTTTTCAACATTATCTACTGTTTGGTTTCAACTTAGACTTGTATTTCCATTTTAACCAAAAATCAACCATTTTTCAACCTGAAATTTCAACATTTTTTCAATGTTATTTTATTGTTGATTTGCTTTCTGGGTATCAAAGGTTGTCCAATAGTTAAACGACATAATAATACATAATATATCAAAAGTTGTCCAAAAAGTTAAATAACACAATATCAAATAACATATCGAAGATTGTCCAAAAAGAAGAATACCACATAGCATATTAAAGGTTGTCCTAAAGTTAAACAACAATATCATACAAAATTTTAATTGTTAATCAAAATACAATCTCATATAATATTTTAGAGATTTTTTAAAGGTCTTGGATAATGGCTTTTAAAGTTAGTACTAAATTGATTTTAAATCAAAAAAAATTAATATAAAATTTAATGTTGAACATAACAAATAGATTGTACAGACTTTTACTCTCAGTTTAAAATTTTTTTGTGTTATAAAAGATATTACCCAGACCATGAACCACTATAAGTTCATCACTATACTAACTTTTTATTCATGGGAGTTTATATTAAAAAAGAAAAATTATTAAGAAAATCTTGATGCACCAAGTTTACAAAGTATCAACAAAATGTTAAGATCAAACTTAAGTAACAAGTATAAATTACTATTTATATAATTATTATTTATATAAGTTGCAGAAAATAGTTTAAAAAATCTTGATTAGTTAGATTTAAAAAATTTAATTAAATTAAATTTTTTACATTTTAAATTACATAACAAACTTAAATTACATTTTTTACATTTTTTGTTATTTCTTAGCAAACAAAACAAGTAAAAAATTTAAATTTATCTATGGAAATATGTTTAACTTTTTACCATGTGTTAAATATGTTCACTTATACAACTTTTGATATATTTTCATTTTTTATTTTTGTTGTCATTGATATTTTATATTACTGTTGTATCCAATTTTAAGAAACTTTCAATATTTTGTACTTTCTAATTATACAATTCTCCATTTTATTGAGAATCTAAAAAATCCTGATTTAACCCCATATTATGTTACAACATGTTATATTAAGGGTAAATTTATATTAAGGAGAAATTTTACATGAAATTGGTTGCTTTCAGTCTAGTAATGATTATATAAAAAAAGAAAGTCATTTACACTTTGAGTGCTGAATAAAATATAAAATAGAAATCTACTGTACTTATTGTTTCAGCTGATTTTAACTTTTTTTAATAGGTAAAGTGTTTAATTCTTCCTAAGAATTTTCAAAAAAGGGAAGGAAACTACAGTAACTGTAACTTTGTATCATAAATTTCGAAAATCAAAATTATATAACTAAAATAAATATGTAAATATTATTAAAAGGCATAACAAATAACAACATACAAGAATCCAGATAACAATACCAGCCAAAGTAGTGAACACAATAACCAAAATCAAAATGGGCCAGGCATTCATTATTGAAATAAACATTGCATTAGAAGAAGCATTTGGATCTTCTTTTGTTACAATCAATGCAACACCAGGTGAATCCAGAATTGGTACACAGTAAAAACCCCTAAAAATGAATTTTCTAAAATAAATTTTTGGTAAATAAAAAATTTTCAGAAAATATTTTTATCTAAAATAAATTTTGTTACACAAACTTTCTAGAAGCTGTGTTCAAAACACAGAAAACAAAAAAAATATCTTCATGAAAAAATATTTACTTATACTTATAAATATTTATATTTATAGATATTTATTTATTTTTCAATGTGTAAGCTGTCCCACCATTCAAAGTCCCTCTAATAATACACTTGCACTGACTATTTATCAAGACTTTTTTTCAATTCTTAAAGCAATTCTGATAAGCACTTTTAGGCATAGCCTAAGCTTTTCAAGCAATAGAGTTTATCTTGTTAATCATTGCAATCCTCTGGCCATATCCAGTGAACATTTTGGTTGAGACATGATTGTTGTGTTATTTTTAGCCAAAAAAATCTCTCACAAGCAAGGATGAATGAGTAGATGTGGGGGTGGATCCAACATTTTTTGGTGTTTGAGCTAACTTCCAGAAATGGAGCTAACACCAAGCATTTCTATGTTTATACTTATGTAAAATTAGGATGCTTATGGAAAAAATTGAGATGATTGGAGCCTGGTAACAAAAAAGCTCTGAACTTTTTGCCCCCTGTCTCAAAGGTGAGAGCAACAATTTGATAAAATTTTTCTTCTCAATTAAAAATAATCAAAAAACACACTATGAAAAAATTGAATGATAATAATCTGTCATAAATCTTTTTTTTAGTCAATGCTATAACTTCATATTAAAGCTATTGTGTAAAATTTAGTTTATAATATTAAACATTTTTCAAAATACATATTTTTTTTTGTTTAAGCCTATTTTATTCTTGCTCAAAGTCATCATATAATATAAATTATTATGCACTAAATTATTGAATAATAACTTTTTATCATGTAATAAATTATTTTGTATATTATATATTATGATTTATATAAACTTGTCTCAATTTATCTCAATTTATTAAAAATCAAAGACCACATATTTCAAATTTACTTAGTATAAACAATGTGTTTGCTTTTACGCAATTTTTTAGTTAAAATAGCGATGACAACCTCTAGAGACAACCTCTACATTTGTAACATTTTTGAGTTGAGAGAAAGATGATGTTTGTGGCAAAGAAACAATAGTCGAAAATGAAATAACATTTATTGTAAAAATATGGTTTAAAATTTGTTGTCAATATAAAAAGGTATTATTTTGCAAGCTTTCTGGTCAAGCAAGAATATCAGCGTTGGGGTATATAAATGGAACAGCAAATGTGAAATTAAGCAATGTATCTTTATTAACGAATATTTGAAAAATTTATAAATTTTAAAATTATAAGAAACTTTTTTTTTTTTAATTCTTTTTTTTAGGTTAAAAAGCATTTTGAAAAAGGAAACTACCATACACTTCCTTTCAGCTAGAAAATGCCTGTATTCAAGAAGAAAAAGTAACATCAGCTTCAAATGTTTTAATTCCTAATAAAGGTGAGAAAACTTTGGTTTATATCATGCATAATTCAACATATTCACTGTTAAATATAATGATGGAAATGTGTAGCTACAAAATTTACTGTGAGTTAATGAAACAAGTTTATTTTTTTAAGGTTATGATAGTAGCAAAGCTCCGCAAGAGATAATACATATATTTGCTGATAATAGAGAATGTTGCTAGTATTATAAAAAAAGCAATTTTTTTTTTCAATATTAAGCGATGGACCTCATGCCAAAAAGACAACAAATGAGAAACAAATGGTTTTAATCAGGACAAAAGTAAATGGCAATAAAATAAAAAAATATTTAAAAAAATAATTACACCTGTTCAAATTTATTATTTATATGTTCTTTTTTAAGCACACCAGTGTATTTTATCTCTAATAGAAATTAATCTCTAATACTAACCTTCAAGGGATTTGTGCAGAAGTACAAAAAAAAATGATTGGCAGTACTATTTTAAAGCAAGAAGCTTAGTTTTTATCTAACAACAATGATCAACATGAAGTTGTGGCATGCACAAGCGACAATACCACTGTTAATACAGGAAAAAGACAAGGTTAATAATGTGTATGCCAACTGCCAATGGCTGTTTAAAAATCATTGCTCAAACTATTATGTTGAATTAGCTGTAAAATATGCATATCATGATTCAGCATTTAAAATGATTGACGAAACCTATTCCGCGGTTTTCAAGTTGTTCAAAAATTCAGGCAAAATCAAAGATATAGTAAATGCAGCATCAGAGACTGAAAACATTCAACACTACAGTCTTACCATAACTACAGGTATTTTATAACATTGTATGGAAACATTAAAAATATCCATCATTTTTTAATTTTATTTATTTCAAATTTGTTGCATTTAAATTTAACTTCTATGAAAAGAAATCATAATAATTTAAATACTTTAATATGTAACATTTGTTGTTAATTTTGATTTTTGTTAAGACAATAAATATTAACTTTAGTAGTAAAATGTTATTATTTCAGATACTAGATTTATGATTCATTGTCAAACAGAATACAAACGACTTTTAGCCTTATAGAAACCATTGATAACTGTTTTTGAAAATGTTCTGGCAGATCAAATGACCACATCAGCAGTTAAAATAAAAGTTACGGGGTTGCTAAAAAAATGTAACTCATATCCATTTTTGTGTTTGGTATGTTTTTACCTAGATATATTGGAATTAATAACTCCTATATAAAAAATGTTAGAACATTTTTTATATAATATATAATATATAAAAAATGTTGGAACATTTTTTATATAGGAGTTTGAGTCTATGATAGAAGAGACAAAGTTAAATCTAAAGGATGCTATTAACTTAACCCAGGATGAAGAAACTTTGTTAAGTCATGCAAATTTCAATGCAAAATTTCAATGTCGGCAGGGTAGGTAAGTTGGCAGGTAGAAGTCAAGTTCCAAATGACATACTTAACTGCAGCTATCACATAAAAAAAATGTTCTTGAAAAACTGAATAGGGTAAATATGCCATTTACTGATTCATGTATATACAAATGTATACAAATATAAGGTGGTTTGATCCAAATTATTGGGTAATTAAAAACAAAACAAATTCAAGAATTATTTATATATTTTAAAGAACCTTTAGACAGAAGTGACTTTTTAATAAACAACTGCTTATAAAAATTTTAAAAATTTAAGAACTTTGTGAAATTAACAAGGTAAAGAAACTTGCCACATATAAGCTTGCCATATATATGCTTATGTGCATTCCACTGCAACTCAGCAGTGGAATGCGCATTTAGTCTACTAACAATAATAATTTCATCAACGACTATCACATAACTCTAAATGCAATAAAAATTAATGATAAAATTTTTACAGATAGTGATAGGGCAAACCTTGTTGGGCGCGTCATTGATAACCTACTTAAAAACACCTACTTTTAACTGTGACAGCAGACCCCTATAACTTTGAAGATTGTGATGGGAAGCTTTAGTGAGGAAAGTGAAGATGAGTTTAGAATCAAGTTATAGTGACGAACAAACCAGTAGCGATCAAATCAGAAGTTGAATTTACTATGGAATCATTTATTATTTAAAACTACTTTAAATAATTGGCGTCTGAACTTTTTTTTTTTTTTTTTTAAGTTATTCATATTATTTGAAATACTAACAATATGTAAAATTTAAGTATTTTTAAATACACTATAATGCACAACTAAATGATTTGCTAAAAATGTAATCATATTAACACATTTATTGTGGAATCTTTAATTATTGTTATAATTCTTGATACTTTGCAAGTACAAAGGGTTTGGGTTGGGCAGGCAGTCAAAAATAATAATTTAAAAAAACTATTAAAAGCCTACTGCTCTGCTTAAATTAAGTACATACAAATCTTTATTTTGATTTATGCTTACACAGTTGCAGCTCAAAAAAATTAGCTTTTTTGAAATTATTCCTTATTTTGTACTTTCAAAATAATAAATTTTTTTGCATTTCAAAATAACTCCATCTTGCTAGGTTTCGAAACTACTCAAATTATGATACTTTCAAACTTATCCCATGGTTTCCAACTTATTCTTGATAAAAATTTTTTGAAATTATTCCTTTTTGCGATTTTGAAACAAGTACTGCTACCCATTTATAATAAAAACAATTAGTTACTAATATTAAAAACACATTTTTAAAGATTTTAAATGAAACCATGCTAAAACATGATTCTTTCTTCAAAAGCATTACTTTTAAGTAAAATAACTAAGCACTCTATAGAAGTAAGTAATTATGTTTTGGCATGATTTTTGCATGCATTTACAAAAGCATGCGAAATTTTACTCAAAATGAATGCATTTGCAATTACTTTAAAAGAAACTATGCTTAAACATTATTGTTGCTTTCTTTGATAGAGTGCTTTTTTAAAAATTTTTCTTATTTTCCTTAAAGTGAAGTAATGTTTGTTTGCATATTAAAAACACTTTTTAAAGTTTTGAAAAGAACTTATAAGTTTTGCAGAAATATATATTATCTAATAGAATATATAAAATTATTATACTTATGGTATTATAATAATTATTATTATAGTTTTCATTTTTTTATTGTGCATTTAACAACACTACTAATATGCTATTTTTATTAATTTATTATTAAATACTTACAATACCATTATTTTTAAAGGTTTTAAATAATGTCTGAGCAATAAAGTATTAACTTCCCTTTAAATACTTATGATATTATTTTTAAAGATTTTGAAAGAAATGTCAAAACAACTTTTACTTTAATTTCTTTAAATTTATACGCTTTTTATTAGTAAATAAATTTAACTAAGCAAAAAATTCACTATTTTGTATCAATAGAGAATATTTTACAATCATTAGATCATTGCATACTAATTATCATTACTTTGCGCGCACTTTGCTAATGCGTAAAAAATTATGTTGAAAAAACAAAAATTGATTAAATTCAGTAAGTATCTTTCATACATCTAATAACTTATTAAGTAGAATAAAAATTATATAAAAATAAAACTCCCTTATGTGACATATA